AGTTTACAAAACTCTAGTTTACAACCTATTTCTTTGGCCTGCATTTTTACTCTATCTAGACGAATGTCGGTACAACATTTGAAAACAGAGCCGATAGGTGTGACCGCCTTTTCTAGGTACAAGCAATTGGGAAAAACAGCGAAACCACCCTCCTTATCTGACGGCACGACACAAAGTTCGTTGTCTCTAAGAAACTTGGTCGTCTTCCGCACCAAAAGGCTGTTGCTGGTAGGCTTACCTCGTAGGAGCACAACACTTTCCGAGATGCACCTGTTCGAACCCTCTGGTGAAGCGCGGCCAGCAACAGAGCGCACCATTGAAAGAAGGTCGGGTGCGGAGCTCTCTCGGTCACCAGACATCTCACAGGCTCAAGAAAATCGTAAAACGAGTTGGAGTTCGTGTCCTGTTCTTGGCATCGTTCAAATTAATCAGCCTCACCAAATCTACAAACCCCCTGAAAACGCAGTCATCAACGCAATGCAGAGTTCAACATAGAAACAGGTATGCGGCATGCTCTATGCGGCATGCTCCCGGGAAGTTGTCTATAGGACCCCCCTTTCATGAGGTGCTTGTTATGTTGGAACGACGGGAAGGTGTCTGAACGATCGCTGAGAGAACACGCTAACAATGTTAGAAACGGGAAAGATGGTTTTCTTGCTCAGCACTGCACTGAGTGCAATTGTGCGCCCCTTTTCAAGGACACAGCGACGCTGTACAAGCACAAAGATGAGCGCACCCGAGTCATTGTTGAGGCCACGCAGATGGCACGCGAACAGGAGCCTTGCATTAGCAAGCCCTCCGTGGCTCTGTCCGAGAAGGAACTAAGGTTCCTTGAAGGTTTCGTTCTGGAGTCATTGTCGAGGCCGCGCAGATGGCACGCGAACAGGTGCCTTGCATTAGCAAGCAACCTGTTCGAGAAGGTTCTGTCCGAGAAGGAACTAAGGTTCCTCGAAGATTTCGGTGCGTGCAAGTAGTTATATTATCTTTACTTTTCTGTTTCGTTTCCTTATAGATTTTTCTTTGCCATTTTTTCGTGCTTTTGTTTTTTGTTTTTCTTTTACTCATGTTCTGCTATTTGTGCCATATGGTTTTTGTCGCATGGTTACTGTCTCCTCTATATATTTTCGCGCTCTGCGCAATAAACTCAGTTGGAAGTTAGCGCTCGTGTCTTTCGTGTCCTTCTTGTCTCTGTGTCGTCGTTTTGTTCTCGCGCTATAACTATCGTCATGCCATACCAACTAGCCCTAGCTGCCACACTTCTATGTGACGAGAAGCTCATGCAATGAAACTTTGATTATACGACCCTCGGTTTCGTGACGACACGCATTTTATGACGAATGGGTTATGTCTGGACAAAACTTCCGTAGAAATAATGCACTAAAAACCTTGATTAAACGACGCAGTTTTACGCTGACCCTGTATCTTACAACTTTCAGATTATGTCCACAAGAAAAACTGCATTTACTCTAATAAAATGTCGGCCAAATATTTAAGAGCACGAAATATGAACCTGCATTTCACGAGGTTGACGATTAGAAAAGTAGAGAGTGAGACAAGATGTCTTCTTAGAATGGAAAATTTATTCTATTGGAAGTTCATACACTTCTACATACGTCTCGATCACACACGTACGTATCCGGGGTCGATACCTAGTTAAGGGGAGATGCGGGTCGAAAAACGCGAGCTTTTTTCAAAATTACCGATTTTTAAGTTTTGCCTGTTTTGATAAGATTAGTACCTCTACTGTTATGAAAAAAAAATACAGGTCGAGACTCAACTGGAAATGCTTTAAAATTGCATCTAAAGAGCCCAAGGTGCCTGTTAAAAGATCCAAAGTGTGCAGTTTTCGAGCACCTAGCTACCGATAATGCGCCGCCACTCGCCATTGTTGATCGCATTAGCCGAAGAGTCGAGCCTCACTCTTCAAGCAACAACAGTTTCCCTCGCTTATGCGGCGCAAGAAATAATAAAAAGAAGCACGGTTCTGCGCGTTTTTCGAGTGCCACGACTGGCTTATCACGTGGTACAGATCGGGGACTGCCATTGGCCGCTGCGCACCTGTATGTGCTGTGAAGCCTATTTGTGGGGTCCATGTCTTGTAGAGCAGCGCAGCTGAACAATGCTTTTCTCGTGTAATTATCTCCGTTATGAAGGAAAAAAGCATTGCTCGCAAGTGAAAGTCGTTGTGCAGCTTTCACTTGCGACCAATGCATCAAAATCAAACCATCTTGCGATCAATGCCAAACTTGCGGTCAATGCATCAAAATCAAAACGAATGCATCAAAAGTCATTGACACCCGTCAGCATGAAAGTTCGTGATACGGCAATGAATGACGTCAGCACCAATCTTGCGAGGTTGAAAGAGCTTGCAGTGATAGAACTTAGCAGGGACGACATTGCCATTCTGTACGATGGTATGTGGCACAAACATGGCCGCAAGATCGCATGAAACTGGACTTAATTTGGATTTCGCAGTCCTGTCAAACTTCTTTCTAGCTTGCAGTTGGCACAAGGCTCTGTCAGATGGAGCAGAAGTCTTGCAAGCATTTCATTGCCATGTCTGTGGGCAAAATGTCTGTGAGGAGTAGGCTCCAAAAAGCCAAGAGGGACAAACTCATGGGGCTGACGTATTTTAGTCGCAGTGGCCACTACAAGAAGCATTGTTCTTTTTGGCATGCAAATTTCATCAGATTTAATGATATCTTTAATAAATAAAAACTCAATTTTAACTCAAAAACTCGTTTTTCTTAAAACACCAATTCTGCCATTTTTTTCAATGTGCCCCTCCTTTTTCGGGCACTTCTAGTGCGAGGATCTGCATGAAATTTTGCCCAAATGTTTTCTAAAGTTTGGTGAATGCAATTATCTAGTAAAAACTTCAATATTTTATTGTATAATAAAAAAATTCTATGTAAACCTTTACAAGGGTGGCTGAAATATGGACTTTTTGCATCTATATTTTTCACGCCTATGACATATTTCGTATGTGCTTCCTAATTAGTTATTTGCATTCTACACTTTATTTCAAACATTATTAACTATGAAACATAAAAATTACGGAAGTTCAGTGATGAAAAGAGGGGGGGCAAAAGGGTTAAGGTTTTCACTTTGTCATTTAGCAGAGCTAAAAGTAAGCAACTTGCAAGAAAACTAATTATATACTTGAAATCAGCATAAAAAGTTCCATAAAGAGCTCAAGTTTCATTGCTCTAGGATGAATATTAAAAAAAAAGTGTTTTCGAGTAGCATTTCCCCTTAAGCTATATCCACAAAGAGTAGCTTCAGCCAGCCGAAACGATATTTTCGTGTTTTTCTGTCCACGGAAACTTTTCCTGGTTGATATACAGCTGACTTCCAGTCTTTGTTGCACTGGCAGTCGCAGGCTTGCGCACACGTAAGAGTGAAATGCAGCTGTTTTCACCGTGCAATATTACTTTCACATGATATGCAATATTACTTTCACATGATGTCAATGTTCATAATACCAGCGGGACACCACTAGTTGTCCTTTACAAGGCAACAAATTGCAACGTGCACAAGCTGAGTCGTGCACGAAGGCATTCTATGCAAACTTTTAGTCTGTCACCATTACGTGATAACTATGCCACAGTGTCTGACTCTTCTGACGGGAGAGGTTGACGGAAGAGGTTTCGGTTTTGTCTTCACGCACAGGCAACTTCTGGACTTTGTTTATCGGTAAAAAATTGCGCAATGGATTTGATTTTTTAAAAGATAAAAATAAAGATTTCCTCCAATTATGTAATGCTGCCATTAGCTGTCACTGGCAAGAATTACTTTAATCTACGTACCTTGCAGAGGCACAATGTCATGATGTGGGCTTATTCAGGCGCTCAATACCCGTCTTAAGAGCAAGGCTGAGTGTACTCACTGCTTATAATCTTAGTTTCTCAATTATAAGATGCTTGGTTTATACAACGATTTTGCTTGGTCCCCTAAAAGTCTTATAATCGGGGTTCCACTGGACCGTGTTGTGATGTCTGGGAACGTATAATCACTTTTTCATGGTGCACTCCCACTTAGCACCACATTTTCTAGGCTTTTGAGGACTTGGACTTTCATTTAACGCAACGGAACAAGAAATGAAAAAAATTTAATAAGGACACTAAAGGCAACTATAAAGTCGACGTTGATTGTTGAAATAGCGGTCCACAAACCTTGTAGTGTTACTTTTGTGCCAAGGAAGGGCTTATTTTGAAACAAAATCACGTATTAGTGGCCCACATCGGGTTAGCGCGCTTCAAATTACCTGCCTCAAGAAGCGGACCGGCTCACGCCACTGTTGCCGCGCACTACAATGTCCGGCATTACTGTGCGGTTGCCGACACTAGTAGCAGCAGAACGAAAGCAACGGAGCCACAGTAGCAACAACGGCCATTGATCAATTTCCTGCCATTAGCTCTGAGATTGCAGACGTGTTTTGGCTCAACTAGGCCCCACTAGATTGCACGACATGTCCACTGTACCTGCGCGAAAATTGAATTTTCGAACCACTCGCGCCATTTTCCAGAGCAACGTCCGGCGATTCTTTTTTCTATTAATCAAACAGAAACGAACAAGCAGCATTTTATTGCGTCTCTTGATGCACGGAAGGTTCTTTATTTAGTGCAGCTAGATCGATTACTTGTGATTAATTGTAAGCGGTACATCCGACGTCATTAGTATCATTTTGAGAATGGCCTACTGCGGCTGTACTGTATTCTTGTGCATTTACCTTAATTTCTCGATAAGTAGGGCGCTGCTGTTGATAATGTTGTTGTAGACATCGTCGTACATTGAGCTTTCTTTCCGACATAAATTGTTATTTGACTTTGGCGTCCCTTTAAGAATGCGGGACACAGTAGTAAAAAAGACACGTGAAATTTCTTATCGTGTCACATGAATGGCCATGCAGTGACTGGAAGTTCTCCTACAATGCTTTCTTTAGGGCATGAAATAAGCTGCCTTGAAGCAGCTTCAATAAGGAATCAAATGTGGCTCACCCTTGGGGCCCTCAGAAGAAGGGCTGATCCCAACCCCATCAGCAAAGTAGTCGCCCAGGAACTTCTGCGCCGGGGATGCGATGAGAAACGGAGGCTGCGTCAGCGTGCAGATCCACTGAGGCTGCATGGCGGCCGCAGCATTCTGCACAAAACCAGTGGCTGAAGATGAGGACATCTGCACTTTTTTAGCAGTCCCCTGCTATCCTGCACAAGGTGTGATTACAGCAGCTAATTAGGGCTTGGAGAGTAAAGCAGTAGGCTTGGGGGAATATATGTGTATACTCAAATTATTATTACAGTATATTCACATTTGCTTTGATTCAAATGGAACGAATACACAGACACAGTCGAATCTCATTAATTCGAACACACTTAATTCGAACTTCCGGTTAATTCAAACTCACAATGAGGTCCCGTCAAAGCTATGTGTATTCCAATGGGCGAAAATGCCCGATAATTCGAACGCGCAAGCACTTACGACAGTTAATTCGAACATACCGCGCTCCGAAAATGCTCTCAGCACCCCGCCTACTCCCACGGCAGCACCTGCGACACCTCAACGCTGTGCGCGAAGGAAATTAAAAGGAAAGAAAAGGCTCCGGTGGTTGGCTCTCTCTCAAATGCCAATCTGCAACGCACCCGTGTCACGCTTCTCCCTTTTCCGTCCCTGCCACGTAAAGACCCTTCTCCTTCCAGAGCCGCGCGTGAAGAGAGAGAAAGGAAAAAAAAAAAAAAGCTGTCGCTGGGTTGAATGAATGTGTAGTTGAAGGAAAGGAAAAAGGCACTATCTTCCGCAGCCCTTGCCCCTTGCGGGAGCACGGCTCTGCGCCTTGAGCGAGGGGGGGTCTCTCTCACACGCCTGTGGCCGCGCTTCCCCTTTCCCATCCCTGCCACGTAACCCTTCTCCTTTCAACAACGCGTGCAAAGAGAGCAAAAAAAAAAAGCTGCTGTGCAGTATCAGTTTTTTCTCAAATGCCGATCTGCTTCTCTCCGCGTGGAGACGCTCCTCCTTTCTCGTCACGTGCTGCATGCTGCATAGCAGGCGTTGTCGTCGTCTTTAGAAAGTGTCGGCGCTGGACATTTCTGCGCACAACTTTTCTTGCCAGGAGAATGCTGAAGCCGAAGTAGAAATGCTTTGCAAACTGCATGCGAAATTGATTGACTCGCTGCAAGACAAACGTGTCCAGACGTGCATCACCGATTACTTCAATTAATAACGGACGTCCTGTGATTTGTGAATAAATGTTAGTCTTCTGAAACTTCCCTCCCGAGTGTTAGCTCAATGCACATGTCCCACTGCATGGAGGGCCCTCCGTTTATTTAGCTTTCATTAATTCAAAGTTCTTTTAATTCGAACACATTTTCAGGCCCCTTCAAGTTCGAATTATCTAGATTCGACTGTAGCAGAATCTCGTTGATACGTATTCGAAGGGAGCACACAAAATATTCCTATCATCCCGAATTCGTATAAACCAAAAACAAGTTAAAGCAGATCATCAAGATGAACAATGAACTTTATTAGAGTCAACTACTTTGCTGAAACAAAGTCCATGATGTTCTTTTGAACTTTCCTTCCTTTATTGCCTTTCAATAAAATGTTGCAGTTTCCTCACACATGCTGCTGCCTTTACATAAGGGGCGTTCACACCTGGCATGAAAGGGAGCGAAAGCGGCAGCACCTATTAGAAATTTAGTCGGTTTGCCCCATAAGCAGCCGGGAAAACGCGTTGCAAAGTCTATACGAAAAAAATTCAGACCTGGGGAATTCACCCTGGAGAATGCAAGCGAGAACGCCAGAGCAACCACGAAACACCTCCGCGCCCTTCAAAAATGATCACATTCGTTCTGCCCCTCGTATACAAGCCACCACCACTGCTTGAGAATTTATTCATACGCATTAAAACCCACACTGAGTTCTAGTCATGCATGCAAAGTACTGAAAAGAAACAGTTTACATTTTTACAAACATTGTTTCAGGGGATATGCCAGAAGAAATGACACGAGCGGATACTGCAGTGGTCACAGATTGAACCGGCAGTGCAAAAGTGAGACATGTTAAGGCATGCCGACTCACAGCTGCTGCACCTTCTTCTACTTTAAGTGTTCACAGCATGATTCAAACCAGACTCCCCATGAGCGAGTCCTTTTCAAGGCCGTGAGCTTTGTTGTGCTGCGCGGGTAGTTCACGATTGCACAGATGCGAGCCACCGCCAACACCTTTGCCACCATGTTGAATACACAGCTGGTGGTTTACATCACGTGGTTTGATATTTAGTGCAGCTGGTGTAGCCAAAGCCATAGCAGAAAGGCAATCCACTATCACGTGACGGCAAAATTATTCCCCGACCGATTTTTTCGTGTCAGCCTCACGGCATTGTTCTTCAGCCACTTTTTTGGCGGCGAAGCAAGGAAAATTCTGGCTAGTTTTGCTGCATTCGCTCTTTTCGAGAACAAGTGTCAACGAGCCTTCTTTCCACGGTCAAGCTGCATCGGGCCACTTGCGAGCAGCAGTCAATCGTGCATTCGTATCATCTGCAATGCCTGGGGAACTCGTTCGGGTAACATTGAATCATGACGTATTTCACATAATGTAGTCAATCTGAACCAACCTTACAATTTGTATTCTCATCAAATTTACATCAATCATATTCGTATCATCGAGATTCCACTGTATATTAACCGCATCAAATGGTGCTTCTAGTGCAGCTGCAGGGTGCTATACGGTGAATACTAGGCTTGTGCGAATATTTGAATATTAGAACGAAATATACAGCATTCGGATTCGGTCTGACTTTAAATTATTGAAAATTCCTCTTGTGTACGTGTCCCTAAGCTGGTTTCTCTGTTTTTTCAAGTATGTGACAACTGGCCCAGTAACAGATTCTCCTTCGTATTCTCACGGGGTCATGAAATCGACAAAGGCATCAGTCACTGCTTTGGGCTAACCTGTACCAGGAAAACGAAACGTCACTCTACAAGCAATACATGCTCTTGATAGATAACTATATTATACGCATTGAGCACGCAATCTCATCGAAAGATTCTCAGATTATCTAGATAGTCCCCAGTCATTTGGGTGCAGTTTGCGCAAGGCAGCGTTACAAGCCTAATAGTCAGGTAACAAAAATAAAAAGAAGGAAGTGCATGCGGCACCACCATTACAACATTACAAATTGTTGCTACCGCAGTAATCGCTAAGCAAGTAATACCGATTTTAAATTTTTTTTTTTTTTCAGTTTATATCGTGAAAAGCTCGCCGAGCAACCGCTAAGCACTGCTCGTGCTTGGCGGTTGCTCGGCAACGGCGCGGAGAGTTTTTTCCAACACTAGTGCCGTCTTTATAACTAGCCTAACAGCTATGACGTTAAAACATACATAAGAGTCACATAATTCGGTATGCACACGAACGCCACCTTGAAAAGAACCGTGCAACGCGTTGACAGGGCGCAAGATTCATGCGTAATCTGAAATACAACGTTTGATATGAACGCAAAATTTTATATGGACGTGTTTGCATCCTTTGTGTAGCCCACGTGTGTTGCTCGATCTATGAAAGAACTCTCAAGTTTGGCATTGTTCAAATTGGGGTTTAGGCATGGCTTGTCCCAGCAGGCCACACTGACGCAGCATGGCGCGATTGGCGCAGCACCTCCACCCCTGCCTGCATTTTGTCAATGCGGTCAGGTGAAGCACAGAAATTTAGATTCCCGGAAGATTTTTATGGCAACCGTGCAAACGTATGAAATGGTCAGAATCCGGGAGTCCCGAAAGATACGGGGACTTGACAGGTATGTACAGTAAAACCTCGTTAAATCAAAGTCACTGGGACCATGAGAAATCTTCGAATTACGAGTGTTTTCGAATTAACAAAACACAGAACATACAAAATGTGGAATGCAAGGTACTTGAAATTATTCAAATTAAGGGGGGACGCGGCCTTTGAAAACCGAAAAATCGCGAAAAAGTCGATTTTTGGCAAACCACATATTCGGGCAGTATGTGTCATAAACTACCTTTTCTGTAAATATCAACGTCTAATTCGTCGGGAAACCATTTGAAATATAGTTTAGAACATGCCGCGGCGGCCCTCGAGCGGCGCGCGAGCGCTCAAAACACCCCAACTTGGCGTGATCGCAGTTTCTCGACCGCTCGACGGAGCGCCGCCATTTTGGTGTTGTTTTGTTTGTGAATTCTTGCTCTTTCTTTCCCCGCCACCTGCGTCGCCGGCGGCAGCGCAGGAGAGGAGCAAGCCGCTCATGATTGGAGGGCTCGCGAGAGATTTCAAGTTTCCCGCGGCTGAGGCGCGCAGCCGGGATTGGGCGAAGCGCGCACTCCCCAAGGACGCGGGGGAGCCCGCGACTGCCATTGGCTGCTGCGCGCGATGACGCAGCGCTCTTGCGCATAATGCGGCCGATGCGGCCGCTCGTCTGCTGCTCCTCCGTCTGGCGTCTTTGTGTTCCGCTCGCTTCCGTGTATCGTTGCAGCCGTTCGCATACTCTCCACGTTTGACTGTCTTCGAAACGATTTTCAACCGTCTATACGAGACCGTTGTTGTGTTCGCTCACGATGCGCCCAACGAAAAAGAAGATACTACAATCGTTCGGTGCAAGGAAGCGAGCTATGAAGCTTGTCCGCGCGGCGAGGCTCTCCGCTCGCACGTGCGCCAACGGTGATCGCGCCGACGGTACCTGTGGGGCAGCTTCTGCTTCATCTACGCAAGAGAGTGGTCGCATCGACGCGCCTAGCAACGGGACTCCTGCTCCGCCGGTGCAAGAATTTGTCGTTACAAGTGCGCCTGGTGTCTCGTGCTCATCGACAGTGGCTTCCGCATCTTCTCTTTCATCGGCCTCGAGTGCGATCGCGTCGTCAACTGTGCATTTGCGAACAAGTTTCCTGACGTGCGAGGAGAAAGAGGCGGCGGATCAACAACGCGCTGCTGTGCAAAGAGAACTTGGCGCTATGCCAGCGACGGAGCGGAAATTTCAGGCAATGGAGCGCGATCATGAAGCTGCCACCGCTACAAGTGAAGGCGAAAAATTTTTCCTTGTGCAAATGGATGCCCTAGACGACCTGCTATCTCGGACCCCGTGCCACCGGTGCACCGCGATTGGGATGAAGGTACGAGGAGGCACCCAACTTGGACTTGCTGCAAAGCTTGAGCTAGTATGCTTGCATTGTGGAGTAGTTTCAACCTCATGGAGTTCATCTCGTCAGGATGACACAAAGGCCTTTGATGTGAATGTAAGAGCCATTATGGCAACAAAACAAATAGGCAAGGGACAAACAGCTCTCCACGACTTTTGGGCAGCGATGAACGTGTCCCATCGTGGCCTCCATCACAAGACCTTTCAGAAGTACCTGAAGAAATTCAGGGAACCGCAGACACAATGCATAGAAAATTTCTATGCAGAATCTGCTTCGCAAGCCACTTACAAAGAAATGGATCAATATTTCACCAGGGATATAACAGTTTGTTATGATAGAACATGGCACAAGCGTGGGCACACATCCCATATTGGAGTCGGGGCAATTATCGAATACCATACGGGCCTTATCTTGGATGCTGTTGTTCTGTCTAATCAGTGCTTTGGTTGCCAAGTAGGGCCAAAGCCTGGAGACGCAGACTATGCATGCTGGCTGGAGAATCATGTGTGCCAGAAAAACACCGACTCTAAATCAGGGAGAATGGAGGTTGAGGCAGCTATCATCCTCTTTTCACGCTCACTGTCGAAGCACAACCTCCGTTACACAACGCTCGTGTCTGATGGAGATAGTGCCACCTTCTCTGCCCTTGTACAAGAAAATGTTTATGGATTGGTCCCCACTTCAAAAGAGGAATGCCTGAACCACGTTCAGAAGAGGATGGGGACTGCACTTCGCAACCTTGTGCAGAAAAGTGACAAGGCTTTGGGAGGGAAGGGCAGGCTGACAAAGGCCTTCATCGACAAGTTGACAGATTATTATGGCTGGGCCCTACGGAACAATTTCGATGATGTGGCTGCAATGCGGCGGGCAGTGATGGCATCGTACCACCATGTGACGTCGACGGATGAGGAGCCGCACCACGACTTGTGCCCAGAGGGTGCAGACTTCTGGTGTCGTCACAATGCCAGCAAGATTACCGGTGTTCCACCTCCGAAGCATTCGTACAAGCTGCCACGCTATGTTGCAGATGCACTTCTACCCATTTATGAAAGGCTCTCACAGGCTTCTCTTCTGCAACGCTGCCTGGGAGCAAAGACGCAGAATGCATCAGAGTCCTTTCACTCTGTGCTGTGGTCCCTCATGCCCAAAGAGCAGCATGCGTCACTGATTGCTGTGGAGACAGCACTGCATGATGCAGTGCTAAGATACAGTGCTGGCTGCTACAGGGCCACCCAAGAGCTAGCTTCATCAGTGGGGCTAACACCTGGCCACCTGGCCATTCAACGGGCAGCCGAGAAAGATTCTCTGCGCTTGAAAAAGGCTAAGAAGCGATCCCTAGAGAAGATGGAAAGGCGGCAAAGAAAGAGAGTGCCAAAGGACACCTCCAGTTACGCTGCAGGTTCATTTTAGAACTGCCTATGTGCTCAAAACTTTCAAACGTCGTTTTCTCAAAATGACTTTTTTGGCTAGTGAGGCTGCTTATTCCAGCCATATCTCTGGAACCACTCATTGGATTTCCATAAGTCTTTTTTTATTATGTACATGAATAAATTTCTGAGGGGGTGACAAGCACATTTTTTCAATATATTGTGTGTGTTATTTATTATATTTAATCAAAATTTGATTGGTAATATCCTAATCACGAACACAAAGTTTGATGGTCTGCGAAAACTTTTCAGCAAGGAAATTCAAAAAAAGGGCTCTGTTACCCCCTGAGGTATCAATCTGGGAATCATCATAGTTAATTTCACAGTTCCAGCACCTTTTGAAAGTTCTCCAGGCCTGGAATAAGAGAACCATGTGCACTACCCTGATATTATGCTGTAACTTGAAAACTAGTGAACATAACTTGATGAAATTTTGTAGTTCTTCTAATGCTTTTGCTATAAGTCTATCCTGAAAATTTCATTAAGATATCTCAATAAACAAAAAAGTTGGTATCTGATGGTAGCCTCCCCCCTTAATCAGGGATGGTCATTTGCTGTGCCGGCTAGTTTGTGGCTCTAAGGGTCATGTTTTCCAGCAATACCTGGTCTTTGCCGCAAACAAGGGGAAATTCCGTGCCTAGATGCTGTCACCGCAAAAACAAACAAACAAAAAAACATGACCAACTGAAATTCATGCTTGCGAAAAACAAGACATCTTCACTGCAACACAGTAGTAACACGAGGGCAGCATGATGCCTGCTCTTCGCTGTGTCAGCATGTCATGATACGACCATTCGCCTATTTTTAAAGAAGATAGTCTTTCTTGGGGACCTTCGACGCAAAAATTTTGGTCTGTCTGTCTGTACAAAACTATCTACTCTTAACAGCATCGAGTACTTGAAACGGCCGACCCCATCTGCAGCGCCCACCTATGTTGCTCAAGGTTCAGCGTTCATACTTGTGCAATTGTCGATCAAAAAGCAATTATTGCACATGTCTTGAACACTATAACAACACGTATATATTCTGCATCTGTGCCTTTTACTAGGAAAGGCATACATAAGTAACTTTAAAGGGCCACTCACCAGTTTTGACAATTTTGAACTGACAAGCGCAATGCATAGACGAGGCGTTCATGATCCCGTCTGCCAAAATTTGCAACGCTATGCGCCGCGGAAATGGGTCACCCTCTGCCAGCGCACGCGTAGAGAATGAGGGCATGATGTGGGCATAGGAATGGCCCTACGTACACGGCAATGCAGTGACCTTGGTCCTCTACATAGACGACTCTGCTCTGACATTGTCAACAGTATACCAAGTGACATGGCAAAAATTATTCAACACAACATGCGTAGTTTATGTATTTGTTGCTTTAAGAGATGAATAAAACTTTAAATAATGAGACGCAATAAAAAATTGTGCGCGTTTTTCTTACATCTTTTCTCGTGAAATGCTACGAGATGCCAGGCTAATGTGACAGCGTTTCGCATGCGTTCGGGTCCCCGCGGTCAGCACATTGAGCAGACGACTGCCGTGGAACGCTACTCTACCGCGTCTAAGCCAGTGTTTCCAAACAATCCCGCAGAAACAGGCAGAAGACCACAAAATAACGCTGATCAACAAAGCAACAATGCTCGCGTGCACGGGCGCTGGGCTTGTTCAGGCATGTCATGCGCACATCACCTCTTGGTCGGATGCCGGAGTGGGTGGGGAAGAGATTTGGCTTGCGAAGACTACGCGGAGGAGTGGCAAAGGTTTTGAGCTCGCTTCCTCTCACCCTCGTTTCGTGCCGCTTCAAAAAACCTGTTTTCTCCGCTCGTCATGAACCGATCCGAAAAATTTTTGTGGCAGAACGTTCCTCATCAGACACCCAACAACTTCCGCTGTCCAACTAAAATCCAGTATGGGGCCTGGTGAGTGGCCCTTTAAGGACCGTAGCGCTTATCACGCTGCGCTGACCATGCAACGCTTACACGAAAAGGACTGTGTTTCCAACGCTTTGCTAAAACAAGACGGTGGTGGCCCCTACTCATCGCCTTGCGTTCTACACCTTATCACCTCTGAGACGAGCGCACACACTCATCTCAGAACCACGCGCTTTGTTTTCAAAGAAAACTGTCAGATGGCGCTCATGTCTCAAGTGTGAGGTGACTTGATGCGCTCGTTCGCCTCCGCTGCACGCTCGAGGCACTCTAACGCAGCGCCTCCAGAATACCATTCACCGATTTTCTTGCGCAGAACATCAAATAAATGTTTTGTTCACTCTCTCCACACGCAAGAGTATCGTCTTTCGACGACATTTACAGATCATTTCTCGTAAAATAAAGAATTTAATAATGGACAGTGTGACGAAATTGGCGATGTGTTTTGGCTGGAAAACATCACTATTGAAGCTTTCGACCAGAGTTTTCCAAGTAGGCGTTGCAGGCGAGAACTTTGTTAGCTGTGCAAGTGTGCCAATTGCTGGAGCAACCAGCACTCGGAGGTTCACATACATCACGGTTTTTCCCAGACTGTCCCTTCATTAATTTCTTTAATTTGCCAGAAAGAATTGATAAATCGAGATGCGCTGACGTTGCGAGAAGCATGCAACATGCTGCCCGCACGTCATTAGTGTATTGCAATGAAGCACATCTTGTTTTCCACAGGAGCATAATTTAGTTGATCACAAGACGGTTATTTTTTATATAGTTTTATTTTTCATGCTGCAAGTAGCGAAGCAGGAGTGCATCAGCTACAACGCATTAGCATTGCTAAAGTACATTGCCTAGTGGCTCTTAAAGTCCGTCGTTTCTGCAGATTCATGGCGAAATCGGAATCAGGAATGGGCACACTGCACCCAAAGTTTTCGAATTAACCAGACTTGTGCTTACCGCCGCTTCAAATTATCCACTCAAACTCACATTGCAAAATACGGGACCGGGAAAATAATTCAAATTAAACGGGATTTCGAAATAACCTAGTTCAAATTAACAAGGTTTTATTGTATTTGAAAATACGTATTCAATTAAATCAATTTTCACCTTGAACTCGTCTCAAACTAAAACTGACAATTTCTACAAGCCCAGATATCATAGTCAAAATAATTGTGAGTCTGAAATGCCAGAACCGGAAATGCCAGAAAATACGCAACTTTATTTAACAAGTGGCGACTGCTAAAAACCTGTGTGCTGTGTTCTCACATCATCATTTCAAGAAACAGTGTAAACAAGTGCCAATAAGAGTGTGTGTGTTTGCATGCATACATCAACACATAATATTGGATACAACAAATCTTGGACAGGAAATTTTATAAATTCGTATAGGGCCAAATTCATATCAACTGGGTTCATACCACTGTGATTTTACAGTATCTTGCTAAGTCAATTCATGAAAATGTTTGCATTGAGCGATGCATTACATTTACCCGGAGGAACCACGTGTTATAATAAGACTCCAACATGAATGATGCAATGCATTAAGAAAGAAATGGAAGACGGATGAAAAGGGAGTTAAGCGGAAAGCAGAATAACAGCAATTGAAGCTTCATGAAAATACTCAGATGAAGAACTCACCGGATCTTCAGGCACTGAACAGTCATCCGTCTTTGTGTCTTCCTGTGAGCAAAAACGGAAACACACAGGACATGTAGACACTAAATTAACTTTGACCACAATAACCACAACAAAAAAGCCGAGCATCATTTTTTATTTAAAAGCAACCCACTTTTTAACATCTTCCATAATGTAGGAAATGCCTCAATTAAGAAACGTACAGTGTATGAAAGCATGTTTCTAATGAATAGAGAGACTATACTGCATCTCCCATAATGTAGGAAATGCCTCAATGAAGAAACGCACAGTGCATGAAAGCATGTTTCTAATGAATAGAAAGACTATACTGAATGGCACGAACATCACCATTCCATATCCCCTGCTATCCACTCGACATTATCTAATGGAACAAAACAATGCCAAGCGTTTCATTGCACCACTGACAAGTGTACAATGTGAACACGTGGCACAAAGAAGCATGCCCATTCTGTTTCGCAAGTTGCCAGATGTAGACTACTGTTGGCACTGCCATACCTCAAGGCGGATATACGTGCCCCAGCATGCTCCGTTTGGCTCTTGAATGTGGATGCAGCGTCCTTACCGCACAGCTTTGAAACAAAACAGCGGAGAAATGAGCAACTATGCTTCCTTAGCAAAAACATACAAGGGGACTAACAGTATGTTTGACTGGGTGCCCTCATGCTACCATATGGATTACAACAATGCAGAGCCTGCTAGTGATCCAACCCAGGGAAAGTGTATTGAAGTGAATGCACAGCTGTACGCTCAAGCAATCGGAGGCTAGATGAGATCTTGCCCGGTGTCACCATTTATCTCAGCAGCACTTGCAACGAATGAAGTTGGGAGAGAGACGTGAGTCGCAGGCCACACGGCAAACACACTTTAATACTACACAAAATGGTAAAATATGAATAAACTCTCGAATTTCAGCCCTAAAATAAACAATAACTGGCTATACTGGGAAACTGCAACTAATACCAATCCGAGTCAAGTTCACGTCCAAAGCCTCAATGTCTCTCTAGCCAAGACGGCATCTCAGTGGCTACTCTCATGCACTCTCACAAAAGTACAACATTCTTATTGTTTAGATGCCACCTTAAGAACTGCGACAAAGCGGTACCATGTTGCCGCCGTCGGCGGCGGCAATGGTCCACTTGTATTCACTGTTGGTGTCTCCGGTCTTATCCGTCATCTTTGGCCTCTTGGTCCTACCCAACTCGTCCATGGCATTATTGATGACGCGTTCCAATGACTGGTGTAGGCCGAATCCATTCTGTCTAAAAGTGGAAGAGCTGTAGTCCCCCCCAGGAACTGCTGTGACAGGTTGTGGCAAGTCTGGACAGCCTCACTCAGGACCCTTGAGGTTGACAGCCACTTTCCAGGCCTCTTACGCCGACATCCTTTAGAACTGCGCAGCTACTGCTTTCGTCGCTGTAGCGACGCTGACCTTCGTGACCTTCGCAGTTTGAAGCTTGAAGCACAGTGGCCGCTCATCCTTTGAGGTTTTTCATTACGGCTCAGGTCACCTGCCACGAGCCTTTCTTTGATCAATCGCGAACAAGAATGTGGTGCGCAAGCACGCCATCGGGGCCTCACGCACCGAGACCACATTCCAGTGCCTGGCATGTGCCTCATGCCCTCTCACTCATGACATACGGTGGTGGAGACACAATTGAGGTTTCTGTTGAAAACAAAGCATGCATGTGAACCATCGCATGCAGCCGTGGTTGATGTTGCATTAGAGAAAGAGCTAAAGAATTCCCATGGTTAGATCTCAGTCGCACTCTTAGGTGTGATGTGACAGTACTTCAGAGCACTTCAAGCTACAGCATGGTGTTCGAAAACAGGCAGCCAAAGGTTTCCCGAGTGCTCGAGTTCGAACCTCCACGAGTACAGCAACATTAACAGGCACAGAGGTCTAGTACAGTAAATTAATTACAATCATGCTCATAGATATTAGTAAACAATGGCATAAATTACACAAAACTACAGCGCCCAAAGAGAAACCACCAGAATCTGCATTATGCCAATGCACCTACCGTGCTGTCATCGTACGATGGGATATCACTACAGGTGAACGAGTCGACGACCTGCGAAGTGAGGTCGTCACCCTTCGGTAGGCAACGCCACTTGCGGCAGCGCACGCACTGCGCCCAGAAAGGCAGGACCTGATCAGCCATGAAAAGGCGAAGTGAGGCCTCCGACCGGGCATTGCGCGACCAGTGCTCCCGCCAATTCCAGTACTCCGTGTAGCCGGGCTTGGTACTGAATAGAACGACAGCAAACGAGGCACAACAATGTGGAATGGCACTAATTTCTGCAACCCATAAAAAAAAAATACAGGGTGCATTATTATGAGGGCACAGGAGGACGGATGACCAGAAATAAAAAAATGAATGCTACCTTCTTTACCTGTACACTACAGAGTGCTAGGACATGATACACCTGCACCCATTAGAAAAATTCATTAGTACCTAGAAGAGCTTGAAAACTAACCCCAGTACCTCCCGTAATGAAGGCAGACACAGAACAGACACCTAATATACAAAATATTACACATTCACAGTCAGGCCGTCAACCCTTCTCGGTGTCTGCACTGCTTAACGCCAGGGGGCTACCTTTATTTCTACAAAGGGAAACACACTTTAAAAGTGTTCTCACAAACATCGGTTATTGCGGATTTGTGAGCGGCAGCCTGGCATGCTTGTACCTTTATGAATCCGTAGTTTACGCTACATGCACAGCCAAGCTGATAGCTGCAGATGACTGTGATAGAGTTGTCGGCAATGAGTTATGGTGATACATTAATCGCTAGTATACCTTTTTTGTATACCTTTTTGTATACCTTTTTGATTGATAGATTGATATGTGGGGTTTAACGTCCCAAAACCACCATATGATTATGAGAGACGCCGTAGTGGAGGGCTCCGGAAATTTTGACCACCTGGGGTTCTTTAACGTGCACCCAAATCCGAGTACACGGGCCTACAACATTTCCGCCTCCATCGGTATACCTTTTTTGGGCACACTGCAGCGTCAACAAGTAAGCTCAGAGAACTCTTATGCAAAGAAAAGTTGTTGTAGTTCTCGCTTCTTGCATTTATGGCTTCTTGGGTTATAAAGATGGCAGTGGTGATCCAAACAAGTTATGATTTAGAGCAATTTTTGGAACAAGAAAAGGTATGTTTTGGATCAGATATAGAGAAGTAGGTACCGTGCATCGGAGGAGGTTTAGAGCAGCCGAAGCGAAACTTAAGATTACTTGGAGCAGAATATGTCTAAGTTTTTGTTGAATATAGTTGTTAGTGTGCATACAAGAAATGCTGTTGCAAAGCAGATAAGTCCGACATCTAGAGAGCAGCCATTATTTAAGCTATTAGCTCTAAAGAGTATAACATTCCGGCTTAAATGAAAAGCACGAGATGTGAGTTGAAGTACCAGTAACAAGCCAAGCATGGCACATACGGATTCTGCAATTGACTAGAGTCCTAAGGTCACAAAAAAAAAAAAAATCAAAACCAGAAAACCCGCTCACAACTAAAGGGACACTAAAGGCAAATATTAAGTCAATTTCGATTGCTGAAATAGCAGTCCAGGAACCTTGTAGTGCTACTTTTGTGCCATGGAAGTGCTTATTTTGAAATAAAATCACGATTAGTGGTACGCATTGTGTTAGCACACTTCAAGTTACCTGCCTAAGGGGGAACCTTTCACCTCACTGTTGCCGTGCATTACTGCGTGGCCGCCGATACTAGTAGCAGTGGAGCGAAAGGAACGGGAGTCACAACAGCAACAACGACCATTTAACAATTTCTTGCCATGGCCCCTGGGATTAGCGTTTATAGAACCGGTTCAGTTGCCGAACTCTCCGCCTCCGCAATACATTGAAAGTGGCACAAAACACTTCCAGTCCAGGTGGCGCTACTGCAGCATCAGGCTCCTCGTAGCAGACAACGAAGCATGAGCAAACGTGACGCGTGCAGCTGCTATCCTTGCAAATATATTGAATTGCTCGAAAACACAACAAGAACGACTAGTTTTTCTCGTTAGGTGATCGTGAAGATATAATACATTAGCAGAAATGTATGAAAGCAAGTTATGTAATGTTTAATCTTGCACTAACTATAACAGGCACCCGGTGATCAAAAGATGGTGCAGCTCTCATCAAGTTCAGCGCGACTGGCATTACTGCTGTTCATTGTCTAAGCTACCAGCTGTAGCATAATTTTTCTTTCCAGCTAACGGGGGAGACGCGGAAGGTCCCAATTGATTCTTTGAAAATACTAAACGGCAGAATTTCGTAGGAGCCGCACGAATAGTGCAGTGGGATGGCTCACATTTTTCACATTACCCATTATAGTTTGTGTTAAAGGTTGAAAAAAATTACCAGTAAACATTGCTTCACATTGTCAGGCAGATCGACTTTGTGGCACAGCACATTCGCAGATATCAACCCTCGCAAGCGCATGACCATGTTATGCTTGGGTCGCGACACACTTCAGTAGTGATCACGCCCAGGCGGGACCGAATTTTTTTGCTGCCTCATGTGCGCAAGTTGTGGAAAGGAGCCAATTAGGTTCATGAGCCTTGTTTCAAACAGAGTATGCTGCTTATAGTTTAAGTTAATACTTCATAGCATCTGCTTGATAGATATGTGGGGTTTGACGTCCCAAAACCCCCATATGATTATGAGAGATGCCGTAGTGGAGGGCTCCGGAAATTTCGACCACCTGGGGTTCCTCAACGTGCACCGAAATCTGAGCACACGGGCCTACAACATTTCCGCCTCTACCGAAAATGCAGCCGCTGTAGCCGGTATTCGAACCCGCGACCTGCGGGTCAGCAGCCAAGTACCTTAGCCACTAGACCACCGCGGCGGGGCTCACAGCATCTGCTTCTTTCGTAGCCTGTGGAAACACATTCAGTGACTCAACACGTGTGAGTTCTGTTAAGTGGGAAGGCGCGGTAATTGTGTCAGATATAGATGTCTCTGCAACATGCCCACTCGGTCGTGGGTTCAATCCCATCTGCGGTGGTTGCATTTCGATATAGGCAAAATGCGAGAGTACTGTACAATGTCAGTACACTTTAAAAACACCAGAAGGTTTAAATTTCAGTCACTCATCACTATAGCAAAACTCTATAGATATTATTATCATTGTACTTTGTGTTTTAAGTACCTAAAAAGGCGAAGAAGACTAGGTAACATTGCTAACGTTTTTGTGCATATTTACTATGCGGCACAGCGCGTTCACAGAAATCAACCCTCGCAAGCATATGACTAAGTTATGCATGTGCACACTTCGATAGCTATCAAGTGCAGTTGCGACCGCTGACTCATCTGCGTAAGTTGCAAAAAGGATATAATTGAGGTCGGGAGGTTCACATGCAAACAAAGTATGCGAACTCTGGATTAATCTTTCACAGCAACCGCTACCTCCTTCATATAGTAGAGCACTGCGCATACTCTTTCGCAGCTGGGGCACATAGCATCAAATTAAAATGTCTTTGCAACACGCCCATGCGCACTTACATATCTTCAGCGACGATGAGACAATTTTCAAGGACTAGTGTGCACTCTTCAGCCTTTATTGCACGAAAGCCCTCAAAACGAAGGTTTATATCAGAGCTGTCAGAGGTGTACCAACTCGCAGATGGCAAAAAAACAATATTGCTCAAAGTTAGGGCACCACTTGCTGTATCCGCAGTTTTCAGGCTCGCGTGGTCACACTTCAAACATTTTTTTTTCGACCAACCTCCCTCGAACTGAAATCTTTTTTTGCGGCTTCGAAGAAATCACGGGGTTAGGAAAAAATTAGGCACACTTTTCTGCACAAAACTCCACTTCACTACCGCAAGCACTTTCGACATTTTTCCCATCGAGAACCTGGCTGCAGGTTTTCAACGTGTTATCGGCGTGAAAATGGACGTTACAGACTCACAATTTATTCGACAGCGTTTTGTAAACAAGGAGAATAGCACGATCCCATGCAGCATGGAGAGCCAGATAACATGGAGCCCAGAAATGTCTCTGGCACTTGTTAATGCTAGCTATAGCCGCTTGTGCAAACAAGCCCACAAGTCAGCATTGCAGACAAACCTCCGTGCTACATAGAACCTAACAGCACGCAAAATCTCTTCAGTGTGCGTACTGAACCACGCGGACACAGCGCAACAGCAGCCAAACACACACTCGATCTGACACACAGTGCTGGACTGGCGGAAGCCTGCTTTGACAACAGCACCACTTTCAGCGACTACTTGCAGCGGCGCCGCGCAACACTGCTGAGGTTTCCAACTGTGCAGGTTCTATAAACGTTGACCGAGATGACAGGTGGCCTTCATTCAACTGGGCCCCACTAGATGGCACGACCTGTCCAATTCAACCAGGTGAAAATTGAACTTTTGAACCGCTCACGCCCATCCTCAAAGTAATGTCCGGCAGTACTTGTTTCCCCAAATAAACATGATTGATTGAGCAGCATTTTATTACATCTCTTAATGCACAGAAGGTTCTTTATTTAGTGCAGCTAGTTCAATACCTAGAGACTAATTGTAGGCGGTAAGTCTGACGTCATCGGTATCATTCCGCAGATGTCCTACTTGCGGCACATGTATTCTTGTGCATTTACTTAATTTCGAGTTAAGTAGGGCACTGCTGATGATAATATTGTTGTTTTAGATGTTGTCATACATTCAACTTTCACCCTGACTTAAATTGTTATTTGACATTAGTGTTCCTTTAAAGAAAGATGACTATAAAAACTTTTCAAAGATTGAAATACTGCTTGAAAATTGCCTGAGCACGTAATTCATTCAATTATTGGCAGAACTCGATATCATACTCAATAAATGTTAGAGGCGTAAATACTAAGTAAAAGTCTCCTTCCACTTTCAAGTACTTGGGGTTGCGAACTTATTTTCAGTTTTCTGAACATTCAGAAAAAGGTTTTTGAAGAATGAAACTGGTAAAAAGGAATCTGTCATGAAAGGGGCGGGGTCAGTTATGAATCCTAACATAAAGGGGGAAGGGTGATGCCCTTTTTTCAAGGCAGCCTTGAAGAAGACAAGTCTGCTTGTCAGTGTAGAGAGAAGAGGGCAGAGGACGACCGACTGCTTTCGTGGAAATGTGCTGCTGGTAATATTTGGCGAATGGAGGTGAAATGGGATGTAATTGGGCTCAGCGAAGTTAGGACACATGAAGCTTGTACGCAGCTGAAGCAAGGACATGTCCTATACTAACATGTCCTATATGTGTATATTGT